TAATTATCAGGTAGTTTGTGGTCAGCGACCATTGATTGACTCAGATCGTGAGCCAATCAATGATATACTTGCTGACAAAACTCTTGGGACTTGGCCATGGACAAACCTGGATTGTCCAGAGAATCCCATATCGATATGGCAAAACTGGACAAATCCCAAATTTATCTTTTAAATTTATAACTTGTTGAACTCAATCTCTGAAAAATCTTATAGATTGAATCTGATAAGTTAGAAACCAAACTCTGGCTTTGAATTTATCGTTTACCAAGACTTAATGACATATTATATGTAATTAAACACTTTATGATTGATTATATGTCGCTAATGATTTGTTAAAAGCCAAGTCTGATAAAGCGATAAATTCAAAGTCAAAAGTTGGTCGGTGTTAATGTTTACATTCAAATATGTAACTTATTTTTGAAGTGATACTAGGAAATAACACTTTGCTTGGGGGAATATACTATAAGGGAAATATAATTTGGGACTTAGCCAGAGTTTGGGATTATGACAGCCTGGATGGGATTTTTCCACATGGTATTTTGAAGATTTATAGTTTTGCCAACAAGTAAGAAATGCTAATCGGTCGAATCCTTTCGGGGATTCGACATTATATCAAGATCACAGGACATTAATCAATAACCTGGACCTTACGCATATAAGGTTCAAATATTACGATTTAATACTATTAAAGATTGTTAATATATATTATTTTAATGATTTATATGATTTATACATAAAAGGTAATGTACTTTTAATAATTTCTAAAGTTCGATATACAATAATTTGTATTATTGTTTCAAAATTTTTCAACTCTCAGAAGTAAACTTTGTTATAAAATTTTAACAAATTGACATGAAGCATGTCAAATATTTAGATACGTTTAATATTCATGTTCGGTTAATTCTACTTTTTTCTCGTTATCAAATCTATTATACTTGCGCAAAAGGTCAAATAATTCTGGATAAACCTGCGTATGTACATCAGATGCCCATAAGAAATCTAAAATAAATATAATATTTTAATTATTAATATTCCTATGTTAATTAAATAACTTTTATGAAATAACGAATATTTAAAGGTTGATTCTTTACCCAAATGTTCATAAGGTTGCACTTCCTTAACAAATACCGGTCTAGGTAGTTGTTTAAGAAGAACTTCTAATTTTATCAAACTGTCACTTCCTCCATAAAACACACTAATAGGTGTTTTGATCTGCTCGGTGGGAAATTTGTGACAACAATGGCCCATAGCAGTAGGTGATGAATATGGTGGTAATTCGTCATACATTTGGAATCTGTTGGCACGAATTATTTGAAACCAATGCTGTGGAAATTTATTAAATCAAAAATAATTACAGTAATATTTAAACAATATAAAATGCATAAGATACATACCACTAAGCTTTTAACGCTTGTAAAATTATACAGATGGTAATACGATACAGCTTTTTGTTCTTCAGTCATGTTATTTCCCGACCAACCAAAGAGGAATTTCATACATGTATCAAGGAGTTTTGTGTAAATTGGGGGTGAAAGAACTTTCTGCCAAAACATTGTCATAGTAAGAAATGCCTTGCGTCCAAAAAAGAGATATACAATATTAGGAGATGCTTTAATGAAAGCATCAACAATTGGATTTTGTAAACCTAAATAAAATAAATGATCAAATTGTTATATTATTCTTGAATCGCGTATAATAATGAGTATATTGACCTTTAGGACTAGTAGCTGGTGCCAAGGCAACAAAAAGGTTAACTTTTTTGTTTAGTTTTGGATTAATTGAAAGAGCAGCGAAAGCTTGCGCTGATCCTTGAGAAAATCCAATGTATGTAAGAGAAGGTGCACCGGTTGTCTCAAGGATATACTGCATTAAGATTATAAATAACGCGTTAAGTACGTCTGTTGATTAAAATGTAAATGCTAATTACGGGGAAAGTGAAAAAAAATAATTACGTCAATAGTATCTGGTAAATCATATAGTGCAAATTCATCCATAGAGTAATCCCAGAATTTTCTTGAGCTTGGTTTATGCTTAGAATGTTTCATGGAATATTTATTTCCTCGAGCGTTGCCTAACCAGACATCATAGCTATATTGTAGTATGTCAGAAATAAATTACGGATAATTATGGACTAAACAAAAGTAATCAAATATAATTAAACATACCCAGCGTCTGTCAACAAACAAGCTAATCTTCTTTCTTCATCTAAATTACACATCCAAACTTCACTACACATCATAAGTCCGTGGTATAATAAAACTACTGGCTTTATTCCATTCGGAGAGCGCAAATGTTCATTTCGAATGAAAGAATGAGAAATTCCACATCTATTAAATATAGATTCTATATGGGATTTTGAATCAGCATCATTAGTCGAATACTTTCCATCGGGTAGGCGATGAATTCCTAGAATATAGTGGTCTTGTGTTTTAACAATGTGTTCTTCCATAAAATATCCCCTTTAACAAAAACGAGAATTTTGATTTGAATTAGAATTTGCATCAGAATTTAAATGAATTAAGAATTAACCAAAAAAAAAAAAGAATCACCAATACTCTGCCATTTCACGAAAAGTTTTAGCAGTTTGCATATTTTTTGCTGGACCTGTTCGTGTTTCCTTATATCGCATTGAGAATAATCTTATTGATATAAAAAAAAAAAAAACCTGAGTTCAAAATAGTTTGTGTGTATACAGTATTGTATATTTATCTTCAGACCTTACTTTTGACTTTGTCCTTTGAAAAACTCTAGTGCACATGCTGGAAGACAAAGCGTGATAATTCGAAGTAAACTTTCGAGGAATAATAAAATGAGACCGGTTACTAACGCCTGGTAATCACGAAAGTTTAGACGGCCAATGATAGGTACTGGCATTATTAATAGGTTTTGTTTTTTTTTGAAATGATATGTTGAGTTCAACGTTAAATTAACCGTTAAATTTTCTGTTCTATGCAGATGCACGTGTAAATTACTTAAAACTATAACAATAATGAGTACGTGTTAATGATATCGATATGACATAAAAAGGTAGTTAGAAGAATATTAAGAATATTACTCAGTAATAAGGAATTCCTGCATTAAAGTTAATACAGTAATACTGTACCGGTATATTTTATGTTTCACGTGAAGGGTGGATATTACACAAACAATACATTTATGCACTGCATCAATATACTTTATCGGTATCGGTGTGCAAAACGATAACGATAACGATAAAGTGGCGTACATCTATGGAATATATTATGTATCCTAACTCGATCGCTAAAATTTTAACGTTAATAATCCCAATTTTATTCAAACTTTGAGCAATCTTAGGAAGAACTTACTAACTTTTGATTTTCATGGACATTTTGAATTTACAGATCTGTCGGATTCAACATTATATTCAACATCGAAATTGGCTAAGTTCTTATTGTGATTTCTTTGTTTTAAAGTTTAGAAAAATTATTCGATTACTGTAATTTTAATCACCTAAAAGACTTAAATTTTTAATCAAGGATATATAATCAGTAAGGACTTGACCGGTCATGATATTTAGAGACATTTCGAATTTCGAATCTACAGATTCGTAGGGTTCAAAAATGTCCTCAAACATCAAGATCAACCTGGTCCTTGCTGATATCTTTGCTCAAAGTTTGAAATCCCTAATTTATCCTAAATAAATTCGATGAATTCCAGAAAAAAGTAGAAACTAATATAATCCAGTGTCGCTCAAAGTTAGCCATCGATAAAAAAAAACAAACGGTACCGGTACCAGTTCGCGATATCTAATCAAGTACCCCTGTAAAATCTAATCATAAATAGATAGATCTTAAAAAGATCAAAAAATTTCCGATTGACTCCGACTCTGTACAATATATAATATCCTTTTAAAATTTTATTATGCGGAGTACGTCTTCGGTTTTCAAGTCCTCAAGTTTATTCAATGTGGAGAAGCACGACGGGTCTTTGTGGTTCAAGCGTTTGGGTGAGCTAGCCCTTCAAGGCACACGTGCTTACCAGTTAGTCGACTTTTATTTATATATAAACTTCTACACTGTGTGGCTAGGGTCCGGTAACTGGCGATGGCTTAGATCTCACTCCATGCGCCCGTGAAGTGTAAGTGTTATTATTAATGTTATAAAATAATTTTATTTTATCGTCTAAAATTCACACTGTACCGGGTTTCTGTTTAGCATTCTGAATGCTATACTACCTCTATGTGCTATACTTTTTTCTATAATATATCTAGTTCTTCGTACGTGTCGCAGACCAGCAAGTTTCTATACTCCTTTGGTATTCAATGATCAAGACGCAATACCGCAGCATGAACATGGATATGTACCAGTTTCGAAATATGATATCAGTCAGCTAGTGATATCCTTCATTCAGTTGGGATTTGTAGGTTTTCTTTTCGGTTGGGAAGCTGAAAAAAAAGATAACAGTGGCTTTTATTCTGTAGTTGGGACAATAGGCCAATTTATTTCTTGGGTAAATATTTCTAACTTGAATATTTGAATTAGCGATCTTTTATTTTCTTATATTTCATTTAATTATTTTAATTATTTCCAATATGCGCAGTTTTACATTGTGATATTGCTAGCATGTCATTTTATGACGCGGAAAAATCAAACTCAATATGCTTTTATTAGACAACTATTGATTTTATACACGCTTTTCTTTATTATTGCGTGTCTAAATCTTCGTTCAATGATTAATAGTAAAAAAAATCAAGCGGAAGGATATGAACTTGTATTTGCAATATGGAACTTTGGGGCTTGTGGTATTTTATTTGCTTGTTCTCTTAAACGACCACGAAACCCTGAATTGAGATACGCAAGAAACAACCGTGTAATATCTCATGATACAGTTGCGTCTCTATGGTCTCTTCTCACTTTTGGGTGGATGTCTTCGATGGTTAGACTGAGTAATAGACGTAAACTCACTGAAGAAGATTTATGGGAATTACCATATAGATGTCAAGCTGATCATTGTTACAGAGAATTAAATCGGTGAGTAAACTCTTTATGAAATCTATTAATTTTCGTACTTGTAATATTTTATTGACACAAAAAATATTCTATTAGAATAATGAGCACAGAACTTTTATCACGATTACTTCGTGCCAATGCCAACAATCTTCTTCTTTTTCTTTTGATTGCAACATTTCGATCTATTTTTGCCTTTACCACCCCTTTCTTTCTTTATAAATTATTAAAATATTTGTCTGAAAATAAAGAGGGAACATATACTGAGGAGCCCTATCTTTATGTATTTGGAATATTATGTTCTGAACTTGCTAGAATCATTTTCTTAAATCAGTTAAACTACCAGGTAGTGTGGCTAGGTATCCGTGTAGAACAAATGCTAAGTGTGTTAGTGTACGAGAAACAATTACATTTAAAGGTTTCATCCAGATCTAGTAATAGACAAAACAATGTTCTAACAACTGATGTTGGTGATATTGCTGGCTTCTTCTCCAATCTTCCTTTCCTTTTGACAATTCCATTAGAAATTATTGTTGCAACTGTATATTTATATTTTTTGCTAGGAGTTTCTAGCATTATTGGTATTGTAATTATGATAATATGCCTTTTAAGTAATAAAAGGTTAGGAAGACGCGTCTCTAGGTTACAGAAGCGGGTCAAGAAAGTAAGAGATGAAAGAGTCAGTGAAATTTTTGAAGTGAGTAAAATTCGTATCATGTTGGTTATATTTCATTTTTATTTTACTTATGTATTCCTTAAATATTAGCTACTTCATGTAGTTCGAACAATAAAAATGTATGGTTGGGAAGAAAGTTTTTATGAAAGATTAATGTGTAAATACATTTCTATTTTGTTATCTACTATTAAGTTTCAATAAAATTAAAACCTATTACATTCTTATGTATTAGACTCGCGTAATATTGAACTTAATCAACTTCGACGGTTATTTTGGCGCACCACCTTTCTCACTTTGCTAGTTCACCTTACTCCATTCCTTGTTACATTGTTCGCTTTTGCTTTTAATGCATGTTTTATGAAAGAGACTTTAACGGCCGCTGTTGCTTTCACAAGTATTATATTATTTAATACGTTAAAACAGCCATTACAAAATTTTCCGAATTTGGTTGTCGAACTTGTGGGACTTGGTGTATCAATAAGACGTGTAGAAAGGTTTTTAGACGAGATTGTTATTCAAAAAGATATTTCAATTTCCAGTTCTAATTCATATTCAAAAGCCACTGTTGGTTTTTCTGAAGTTGATGTTGCTTGGAATTATGATATTAATATTCAGGACCCTAATGATTTCGTATTGAGGAATGTGAATTTAGAGTTTCCTCTTGGAAAATTAAGCATTCTCTGTATGTATAAATACTTTACGGTAGAGTTCCAATCCATTAAGCGTTTATTCGGATAATTATCAGATATGATACCCATTTACTATTATATGTCGGATTATCCGGATATTTGATTTGTTTATCCAATCCGAATTATTCGGATAATTCAGATACGGATAAATGGATGACGGATTTATCAACCCTTTATTATATTAATTGTTCAATAATATTTCCATTTAAAGGTGGAAAAAGTTCTTCCGGAAAAACTCTTCTTTTTCTTTCGTTCCTTCGTGAGACATTCCTATTGCGTGGTGTAATAAATTTTCCTCCAAATTTAGTCGCTTATGTTCCGCAACAAGCATGGCTACAAAACACAACTATTAGAGAAAATATATTATTTGGTTAAGATTTTGCAGAAAATCGTTATTGGGATGTTGTTGACCTTTGTTGTTTAAGTAAAGATTTTGAAAATATGGATGAAGCAGATTTCACTAAGGTGTGATTCTCTGTTTATAGATATAAGTATTGTTAATTATTATAATTACTAACTTTGCATATGTTAAAGTGTGATGAAAAAGATCTAATATTAAAAGATGATCAAAAAGCTCGTATAGCGCTCGCAAGAGCATTATATAGTTCCGCACAAATTTTGCTCTTAGATGATTTTTTGTCAACTATGGATTCATCAATGGGTTTTTATTTATATATACTTATGTTGTCATATCAGTAATACGGTAATATATTATAAATTTACATTGCTTTGACGTCTATTCATTTTTATCATAGCACATCAAATTATTGAGAATTGCCTAAAAGGTCCGATTATTAAGGGAAGGACTGTGATAATTGCGACACACTATGTTCAATCTCTTTTGGACGTCGCTAGTTATATTGCAATACTTGGTGATGGAACTGTTTTAGCCAAAGGCACTCTTGAACAAGTACGTGAATCGGGATTTTTAAATGATGAAATTCTTGGAAATGACCTAGATGTAGAACAAACCCTAGATAAAAGTTTACGGAACTCGATAAATAGGACTTTTGAAAAATATATTACTGATAAGAAAACTTGGGCGGCAGAAGAAGGTTTATACTTTTTATTGTCATTGTCTAAATTTTTTTATTTTATGTGCAAGAGATTTATTCTTCCTACAATACTGTATTATGTAGCGCAATTTCAAGGAAAGATTCCGTTCAAAATTTATCTTTTTTACCTAAAGTCTAGTGGTGGCTTATTAATTTGGTTTATGCTAGTTTTTTTATTCATAATCATTCGAGTTTTAACTGTGGGTGAGACTTATTGGTTAAGTTTGTGGAGTATGTGGTCAGAAAATCAGGATCACAATATAACTTCACCTGAACTATTATATGATACCCCCTTAGTAAATCCCTTATATTATTATATAGGGATATATGCCCTTATTGCCTTAAGTTCTGCCATTTTTACAATTGTTCGCATGGCTTGGCAACTTTTTGTATCTCTTAAAGGTTCAAGAACTTTGTTTTCAGAGTTGCTTAATGCTATTTTAAGAGCACCCATGAGCTTTTTTGATACTGCACCCCTTGGAAAAATTATGAATAGATTTTCTAAAGATTTGGGTATGATAGATCAGAGTCTTATGACAGTTATGTCGGGTTTTCTTGGAAATGCTATTGGGGTAATAAGTGTACTTGCAGTTGTCACTGCCGTGACATATGAATTTCTCATAGTTTCCATTGTTGTTGGTAGGTTAAATACGTTTAATAAGTTATGCTATGCTACATATAGTTCGGTATAACTTATTCTACATGTGATTGCTATTCGTCTTCCTTGCGTAGTCGTGTTATATATTATCATTGGCAACATGTACATCAATGCTTCAAGAGAATTGAAACGTTTGCAGTCTATAACTCGTTCACCCGTTGTTTCTTGGTTTAGTGAAACAGTGGTGTAAGTTATCTTTGATTTATTTTATATTAAAAAAGCTATAAGTTCTCTCTTAATTTTGCTTTTTTTTTGATATTAGCGGCATCGCAACAATTCGAGCATTTAATGTTGAAAAACGATTTCTTAAAACCTTCATTTATCGGTAAATTATATATTAATTTTTAAATCATTGATTTGTCCATTAACATTACTTGCTTAATATTCAATATATCTGATATATATGTTATAGCCTAAATACATCAAATCGAACAACATATCTACTTCATATGTCTAATCGATGGATGTCTGTTCGCTTGGGTTGCATAGGAGCTTTTGCATCATATTTAGCTGGTATTTTTATTCTACGGAATTCTATGAGTGATGGTTTGGCTGGTTTTTGTCTAAGCTATGCGCTTGGATTTGTACAGATTGTATTTGTAAGTAATTTACAAGAAATAATTCTTCTAGTAAGTTATCATTTTACTTCATTTCATTATATTAATAGATGCTAGTCAAGGATTATTCATCCATGGAAACTAACCTAAATAGGTGAGTATTATTGATTTTTTTTTTTTTTTTAACATGCTTGATTTGTGATATGAATTAAAGATAAATTTCTATACATTTATATACCTTTAGCGTAGAACGCGTTAAGGAATATATAGATATGCCACAGGAACCTTTATTAGTCGTAAATGCACCTCCTCCAGCTGCAGTAAGATATTAATAATATTTTTATATCTTTTAGTTTATTATAATGGCAATACAAAATTATATATTTTTTAAACGCAGTGGCCGACTGATGGTAACATTAAAGTGTCCCAACTAACAGTTAATCATCCACAAAAAGAAGAACCCGCACTTGAGGATATTTCATTTCATGTTAAAACTAAAGAAAAAATTGGTATTGTTGGAAGGTGAATATGGATGTTTTGCTTAATAATTATTTTTTAACTCAATGGTGCTTAATTTTAATTAAACCATTTTTATCTAACTACAGAACTGGAGCTGGTAAATCTACTTTGGCGAATTCATTTTTAAGGTTGACAGAAGCTACTAAAGGCCGAATTGTGATTGATGGAATTGATATTTCAGAGATTAGTTTAGAAGATCTTAGGTCACGATTGACTATTATATCTCAAGGTTCATAATATATACTTAATATTTTATTATATTGAATGCAGAGTTAATATTTAATTATTATTATTATTTATTTTTTTTTTTGCTTCTTTAATTAGAACCTATACTTTTTGAAGGGACAATTAGATCAAATTTAGATATTCGGTTAGAACATGATGATCATGAGTTATGGGAGTCATTAAGGCGAGTTCATCTCATTCATATAGAGGAAAATTTATCAAATGGACAGGCTTTAATTATTGGGCCAATAACAAACTTAAATGATCCGGTTAATGAAGGCGGTAGCAACTTTTCTCGAGGTCAAAGGCAATTGATTTGTTTTGCAAGAGCATTGTTAAGACGATCAAAAGTATGTAGAACAGTTTTTATCATTTATGCTGTAACTTATTTGTAAAGTTTGTTATTCAATACAATATATTGGTTTACAATGTTTTATTAGATAATTATTATGGATGAAGGTATAATTGATATAAATTATAATATAATTTGACAGTGATATTAATTAATATTCATTTTATTTTTTATATAGTAACTGCTAATCTTGATACAGAAACAGAAAAAAAAATACAAGAAATTATTCATGATGAGTTCCAAAACTCTACAGTTTTAAATATTTCATATCAGTTTAAAGATATTATAGATTCAAATCGAATTCTTGTTCTTGGTATATATTTATTATTTGTTCTAGTTATTCATGCATTAACTTAATGCAAACATAATCTTAATATATTATTATCTTTAGATAATGGAGTGATTATTGAATATGATACACCTCAGAGTCTTATAAAAAATCCTGAAAGTTTATTCAGACAATTGTGTGAACAGAGTGGTGAATTAGAATCTTTAATGGAAATTATGAGATTAAATCAATCAGAAGAGGAAAATGAAGAAGAATATTATGAGGAACATCATATTTATAATGATGATATGTATGGGAGAATTGAATTTGAAGAACAGGATGATGAATTAACTAAACGAGAATCAGAACATGAGGTGGATGAGGAACGAGAACAAGAAGAAAATGATCAACAAGAACAATTAGAGATGCTTGATGAACATAATAAGGATGACTGGGAAGTTTAAAAAAAAAATTATGAATAGAAATTATTTTATTTTTAATATTAGGATTAGGATTATATTTTTAAAAGTTTCTTGTATTTCTTTATTTTGTAAAAAAGATTAAATTTATATACAATAATTATTTAATAAATAACACAAATTTTTGTTATTTAATTTATTATTTAATTTATTTATTGATATTATATCTTTTTTCTATAACATATTTAATAATTCAAGTTCTGTTTTAGTCTTTTTGTTAGCTAATATAATTTATCACAAAATGCAGAATAATTTTCACTAATGTTCAAAAAAATTTCAAGTCAATTCTATTCAGAGCTAAAATATTTAATATATTATTATTAAATTTTGTTTGTTTTTGTTATTAATTTTTTTATTAAAAAGAATATTGCTTAGTATCAATAAATATTAGAAAATAAATTGAATAAAATTTTAATTTAAATTATATTATGAATTCTTAAATATTTTTGTTTATTGTTTATTTTCTTAATATCTAAATAGTAAAATATTCTTATTTTTAACAAAGCAATTAAAATATATAAATAAAAATAAATTTACTATAATATATATTTCAAATATAAATTATTATTTTCTAACCAAAAAGTAAAAAGGTCTTTTAGTTTATTCTAATAATAATTAAAAAATTGCTATCAAAAATCTAGCTGTTACATAACATTATTTACTCTAACTAAAATAATAATTTTTTTATATTGCACAGAATATAGAAAGTATAAAATATAGAAGAGTTACAAATTTCTAAAAAGTCATATTATGCTAAAAGTTTTTATAGAAACATTAAATAGAAAACATTATATATATTAAAATTTATCTAAAAAAAACATTAGAAGGAACTTGTACTAATTTTAGATAAGATATTTTATGTCAAAATTTTGGTTATTATTAATATTCAAAGAATATTTTAGAATTTTTTTTTTTTTTTTTTTTATAACTCGAGCTTTATAGAGCTAGGAGTGCAGTTGGCGCTCTTTATTTACAATTTAATAGTAATTTATAAGGAATATTTTAAGTATTTACATAAAGTTTTTTTCTCTAATGATCTATTTGTTTTATATATTTTGTAAAGACTTTGAATTTCTTTAGAAATCTGATTTTTAATGATTGTTAAAAGTGTAGAAATAGGAAAAGTAGTATTACTCTATTTAAATAAGGTATAGCAGCACCAAAGTTCATAAATTGTTGTAATATGAAACCAGTTTAGCACTTGCTTTTGAGAGAAGTTTTGTGCACTTGATCCAGTGAACATTTCTTTAAGAGTTGAAGAGTAGTTGATTAATTCATTAGTATTAAGAAATCTATATACTGCTTCTCAAATTTCTTCACTTAAGCTGCAGTCTATAGCAAAGTGTTCTGGTATTTAGGGTTTCTCAGTACACCAAGAGCAGAATTCTGCTTCTAGTGATTCTATATGTTTGAGTCTATAACCAAGGGGAAGGGACCTGTGGTAGAGGCGTCAGTATATATTTTTTTTCTTGTTTATAATTGTTTTTGTAGATAGCCAATTTGATGCTAGTAGGTCTGGTATTGTATATTCTCGAGAGGATGTAAGTTCTATTTTTTGAAATATTCGCAGAACTTTGTTTACTATAATTTCATATCCTTTGAGATCACTTAGCCTAATTTCTTTTTTGTTCCAAGGCCAGTTTGTACTAGCTAAGATTTTTCCTTCTGCTCTTTTTTAGGCTAGAAGAAAAGGTTTCCACTCCATAGGCCAAGCTTTGAACTGAATGTTTTCAGTTGTTAGCGCTTGTAAGGGTGAAATATCTCTTTTATTTCTGAGAATTGTATTAATTTTGTCTTTTTCGTACTTAGCCCAAAAGTGCTCAGATAAAAGTAGTTTAAGCCAGACTGTTATTAGCTATGTATCTAGCATGTCTTAAATTATAGGAGCCTGTAGACCAAGGTACTTGTATAGTTGTTGAAAGATTGAGTATCTCAGAAACATGCGAGAGTTACTCTTGATCCATAAAGAAATTAATCTATTTATTTCTGATACCTGCTTCCTGTTTGGTAGGAGAAGGTATACTGTATACCAGATTTTTGAGAGTATAAGAGATTTGGCAAGCAGAATTTTCCCTTTAAAAGATAAATTTCTATTCACAAGTTTATCGAGTAAAGCCTTAAGATTATTTATAGTAGATGACCAAAGATCCTTTTTTAGAAGACTACTTGGGTAAATACTATAACCTAGTGTTGTAATAAGTTCATTCTCTTTGACTATATGTAGTTGGTCTGATTATGGTAATTCTACTCTAAATGCTATTGCTGTAAGAGGAGCTAGTTTTGTTTTGGTTTTGTTAATTTTTGCATTAGAAGCCTGCTCGTAGGTTTCTAGAAGTTTAAAAGTATATTCCCAGTCTGAGAGAGAGCTAATTCCTATTGTAAGGTCATCTGTGTAGGCTATGAGTTTGAAAAACTGATAACCTAGTCTAATGCCCTGTAGATTATTTTTTAAATTAAATAGCAAAGATTCGAAAGCAAGTATATACAGGAGAGATGAGAGTAGATCTCCTTGTCTTACTTCTCTTTCTATTCTAAAAGCCTTTGATAGTTCTCCTGTTTCAAGAATGTGGGCTTCTTAATTTGTAAAAAGGTTTTTGACTATTGAGATAAACTTTTTATCGAAGTTCATTTTCTCTAATACTAGTTCTAAAAACTCATGACTTATGCGATCGAATGCTTTTTGTTAATCCAAGAATAGCATCCAATATTGTTTGGTATTGTCTTGTTGACTTCTTAGAGTTGTTATGATGTCCATTACAGTATCTGATATTGATCTGTTTTTTACAAAGCCTTGTTACTGTGGAGAGATTACTTCTTGGCATATTGCATTTAGTCTGTTTGCTAAAATTTTCATAAAAATTTTAGCATTACTATTTACTAAAGAAATTAGTCTCCAATTGTTTAGATTTTCCAAATCTAAAGATTTTTTCAGAATAAGTATGATTAGATTTTTACACTATGATTTGGGTAAAAGATCTGAGAGAAGTACTTGATTAAAAAAGTTGTATAATAGAGGAGTGATTACTTTCTCTATAAGCTTATAGAACTCATAAGTAAGACCATCAGAGCTAGGAGACTTGTTGTTCGGAAGGCTTCTGATTATATTCCTTATTTCTTCAAGAAAGATTTCTTGTATTAGCAAAGAGTTCTATAATCCTGTAACTTGTGAAGCTTCTTTGATAATTTCGTTCACAGCAGCTAAGTTAATTTCTTCTTTTTTGTAGATTTTTGAGTATTCTTCTCTAATATAAGAGAGAATACTATTTTTGTTCTGAGTTGTATTTGCAGAATTTTTGATTTCACTAAGTACTGAGCAAGATTTTCTGGATCTATATTTCGAAAAGAAATATTTAGTTGATTTTTCTCCTTGCTCTATCTATTTTGTTTTGAAGTGAAGTTGCTATTTTTCTGCTAGAAGGGTAAGTTCTTCTTGCAATTTGGCATTAAGATTGTCTGCTTGAGCAGAAAGATATATATTTGCAGAGTTTTCAGCGAGTTTTTTGTTTATCTGAGTAATTTGTTTGTTAAGTATTGAAATTTTGCTTTC